GTGAGAAACAGAGCAAACTTGACGATATCAGTCAAGAGATGAATAAACCTAAAGAGATAGCGGAAAACAGTGGATATCAAGTTCCAGAACTTGATTGTACTACCAGACCATTGGATAGCTATCTCAAGAGCTGTCAAGATATGAGCAAATCTAAAGGGATTGCGCAAAATGGTGGAGATTACGTTCAAGAACTTGAGTGCAGTGCAGGACCGTTGGACAGCTATCTGAGGAGCAGTCAAGAGTTGAACAAACCTAAAGAGATTGCGCAAAATGGTGGAGATCAAGTTCAAGAACTTGATTGTAATGCTGGACCGTTGAATAGATTTCTTAAGAGCGGTCAAGACGGTTTAGGAAGAAACTACTTTCAGCAACAACAAGAAGGTCAAGAAGGGATTGTTGCGCAAACCGAGATGGAGAATGAGAAGAACGAGACAGTGATGAATCAGAAGAGCATTGTTTTGGCCATCAAAGCTCCAAATTTGAGCGAGAGACAAAAGAAGACGAGAGAAGCTAACACCATCAAGAACAGATCATCAATGGTGGAGAGAACAGAATCCGAAACGCATAAAGATCATAACTTCGCGATACCCTATGTGCCAAAACTGTCTTCACTGCCGTCGTTGCAGAGTTTCCCAGTCGCTCCTTCGTTGTTTCCTTCTTCAAGCCAAGGGATTATGTCTTTTGCAAGTAACAACAACTTTCAACTGAGACAACCATCAGTCGTATCTCAGATTTCTGATCTTTCTGAATTCCAGACAGGATTTACAGGAGGACAAGGATTTGGGAATTCTATGTTTAACAACAACGGTTACTTATCTGGTTTTCCGCCAGCTTTCCAGCCTAATCCGATCGCTGGCAGTTATAATTTTCCGGCACAAGTGAATCCTGCAACGTCTTTGCAGCAGAGAGGCAATAACAATATGTTTGGAGGTCTGAGAGTGGGTGGTGGAGCCATAAGATTTTCGGATGGAAGGTTTCCCGAATCTGAAGTAGGAAACGGTATAAACAGCCTCTCAGATTACAGAACTAGCTCTGGTAGATAAATGCCTGTTCCAGAGACAAGAGGAGCGACCAATTAACTATCTTTTCCTTAAGTAGATCCAAGTAGACTGAAAAATCGGATTTCTTCAAATAAAATAAAAACATGACTTTCTTCTCGCTGATTTTGTTGAAATGAATTAAACATCTTCCGTAACTAACCGTTCGACCAGAAGTGTTTCCACAGTTTGATTCTTCCCCAAGCATTGCCATTTGCTTCTCTCTGCAGGTATGGTTACTAAGATTTGGGATGCGTATAAAATCCTGTCGCTCGAGAAGCAAATATCCTTCGGAGCCTCGGTGTGGCCCATGTCAGTCCTTGTTATAAGATTACCAAAGTTAAAAACTTGATGAATGACATGGCTTCATCACAAATTGGGATTAAGAGATTCATTCTTGTTTAAGACAATGTAAGTAGTTTTGGTTGAATTCGATTTTAACCAACTCGTGATCACAACAAAACCAAAGCTTGATACAGGCTCATTAGATCGATACTCCACGACTAGGACTTTGCCAAACCTCGATAGACTGTTGATCCTTTCGGGTCACAAACATTCTGTTTCCTCCAAACGCCAAGCCAGTTATCTTGATTTCTCCTGAATCAGCTGATTTCCCAAACGAATTCTTCCTAAAAACCCTCTCTTCCGATACATCCCGGCTAGCATTCCCAATCAAACCCGTGATCACTTCAGACCAAAGCTCGATCCCATTTCCTTTACTACAAAACACATGATTCCCATAACTCTCTATCTTACACCCAACTCCTTCTCTTCTATCTTTCAAGCTTCTCTTCTTCTCTTCCCCAAGACAAATCCATGGATCCTCAGATCCTAACCTCCTCAAATCGGTGTAGAAAACCTCCCCTGAAGTTACACCGACCTTGAAAACCGCGGAGAGATTATCCGAGACAGTAACATCAGAGAAACAATCTTGTGTCTCCTTAATCTCCCAAACCATAGTCCTTGACCTAACATCCCAAAACCTTATGTGACCATTCACACCAGATGGACTACTATGAGAACCAGAAACCATCAACAGATTACAACTCTGTATCCATCTCAGCTTAGTCGATGGAATTGCAGAATCAATATCAGAACCATAGATCCCACAATGGTCGATCTCTGACACAGGCATCAAGCTAGAAAGATCATACACCATAATCGAATTCGAGTTTCTTCTACTAGATTCAAAGCTAGTGAACAGAAAATGAGAAGAAGAACCTATGGCTTGAACCGTAGAGCTAGACCTAGTCGGATTTTCCCAATTCAAAGTCGTGCGAACAAATCCGCCGTTTTCGAGATCGATAATTTGCAAACCTGGGAAATCAGTAGCTCCGGCTGCTAAAACTCCCGGAGAGATCTCAAGAAGAGAATCCACGGCGGAGAAATTCGTAAGCACCGTCGATTTCCGCCGCAACGACCAATCAAACGAAGTGATTTTGCTCCCGTGCGCGACGTGGAGACCTCCTCCACCGTTCACCGTCGGTGATATAGTCGACGGAGAATCTCGACCGTTCAAAGTAAGAATCCGAGATTTACGGAGATCGAACGCCTCGAACTGCGACGAATTCGAGAGAGAATCGATGAGGAAAGACTCGATTCCGTAGTATCTAGATTCTTCGATAAGATCTCTGACATGGAAGGAGCTTGATCTCGCCGGTAGGTTTCCAGTACGGAGGATATAGAGAAGAACGGAGAACAAATCGGGATCTCGATCGAGAAAACGAGTAGAAGTAGAGTCAGTGGCGAGTCGAGAGAAAAGAGAATCGGTTCCGGCTAAGGTTAACGTTTGTTTCGTCGTCTGGAAGATTCGGCCTCCGACGTTGATGGAGACAAGATTTGTTTCATGAGGGATGATCGGAAAACTCATCGGAGCAAATCACAGAACCTTTTGGGTTTCTTTTTGCAGAGGAAGAGAAGAATTATTAGTAAACCTCAATTGAACAAGGTCAACGGTCAAGATAAAATTTCATAATCATAAACATTTATCCCTAAGCATAAATTTACGTAAATTTCTGAAAATATAAATTTTTGATTCTGGTGGTGCTGTTCGTTTGCACAGATCCATCTGGATGACAGAAGATGTTAGTTTTAGTGAGAAATTAAACACATCATCCAAATTGATAATTTAGATGTATTTTAAAAACTTAAAAAAAAAATTATAAACGTAGATGGTTTATCTAGATGAATCTAATGGTGCATCTATGTAGATGACTTTTTCAAAAATTATAAATGTCTAAAATACTTTTATTTACCATGTAAGTTTGCCCCACATTCA